GTATTATTGGAGAGAAGTTTATAACTACAAATGCAATTCCTTTCAGAGATATAGAGGTATTAGATAATCTATTTTCTCTTGAGTGAGCTTTGGTAGTTTGTATCTTTCAAATAAATTTTCCATTTCATTGAATTTGTTGAATTTATAGGCATAAGGATGTCCATAATATTCCCTTGTTATACTTTTAATATCTGTGGAATCTGTAAGTTATGTCACTCCTCTGAGGCATATTGGCAATTTGTGTCTCTGTATCTCGCTCTTCCTTAATCAGTCTGAATGAAAATTTATCAATTTTATCTATTTTATAAAGAACCAGCTTTTGGTTTTATTAACTTTCTCTGTTATTTTTATTTTCCATATAATTTATTTCCACTTTGAACTTTATGATTTCCTTTCCTCTGCTTACATTGAGTTTAATTTGTTTTTCTTTTTCAAGTGTCATAAGGTAGAAGCTAATATCATTGATTTGAGACCTTTCATTTGTTCTTATATACGTGTTCAGTGCTATTACAATAGCCTCCGCTTACCTGCATAGAATACATTTCAAGACCTCCAGAGAATGCCTGAAACTGTGACTAGTACCAAACCCCATATATACTGGGTTTTCCTGTACATAGATTCCTAAGATAGTTTAATTTATAAATTAGACAAGAGATTAGCAACATAATAGAGCAATGGTAATAATATACTGTAATAAAAGTTGTATGATATGGTCTCTCTGTCTCTCAAAATATCCTATTGGATTGTATGCACACCCCAGGAGGGACGAAGCAGGATGGCACGAGATCTCATCACACTACACAGAACAACACACTTAAATTTAAAACGTATGAGTTGTTTATTTCTGGAATTTTCCATCCAATATTTTCAGACTATGATCTATCCCAGGTAATTGAAACCACAGAAACAACACCATACATGGGTGGGGAGGACTACTAACATTTCCCCCAAAGAGCACTTTAGTGGCATCACACTGAATCCAATGTGTTGTGTTTTCATTCCCCTTCAGTTTAAAATACTTTCTAATTTCTCTTTTGATGGCGTCTTTATTCATGGCTCATTTAGGATTGGATGCACAGGGAGATCAGCCACAGATCTCTGGGGTTCTCTACGTGGTTCTCTCCACTCCAGTGATACATCCTCTGAACTCTGACTGCCTTGGTCTCCCTGGACTTTCTGTTCTGCCTCAACTCTGACAGTCAGCGGAGTTCTGCCCCGGTCGCCCCTCCCTGGGCTGCTTGTCAGAAACTCTTATGGTGCGTTAGAGGCGATCATAGGCCTCCTCTTGTTTGTTTCTCATATCTCAGGGATCTCTGTCCTTGATATCCAGTGTCGTGAAAGCCATTGTTTCATATACTTTGTCTGAGTTTTGGGGTTGTTTCAGCAAAGGAAATAAATCTGGTTCTTATTATCCTATCATAGCTGAAAGAAGAAATCCAGTTGTGTTCTATTCTTTATAGAGCACTACGAACTCATGGTTTTTATACATTTTGTTTGTTTTAATCCATTGCAATCATTTTCCTTTTTGAGACTTAAAATATCCCAACTTAGACCAGTGGGAGCCACTACATGTTAGCTTTTGGGTCCCTTTGACATGTTTCTACTAGTCCCTTTAGTGGCAAAAACATTTAGGCACTAGGGGTTGGCTATTTATTTGCTTTGGCTAAACTTGTTTCTAAAAAGTAGAAGGGCTCTGGCCGGTCTGGCTAAGCAGTTAAGAGTGTTGGCCCGTGAACCAGAGTCACGGGTTCCATTCCAGTCAAAGGAACATAGCTGGTTGTGGTTTGGTTCCCAGCCCTGGCTGGGCGCGTGTGCGCTCTCTCTCACTCGCTTGCTCCCCCCACCACACACACACTCTATCTAAAGATGAATGAAAAAAATATCCTTGGGTGAGGAGTTAAAAAGTAGGAGGGAGAGCAAGCTAGAGATATTTTGTATTTATAAATAAGTACATTAATAAAAAGAATGCATCTGTGATGAAGAGAACTCAACTCTGCCACATACAAGTCACTGACATCCTCAACTGTTAAATAAAGACCTCAAAAGTTCTCATCATTTCTCCCTAAACATGGATCTCCATGTTTCCAAACACAGTCTACTGAACCTGACTTTATCTTCTCAACCTGTGTTCATTCAATCTCAGCTAACCTGGATGCTCGTTTACATAGTCATAGCAGCTTAGCTAAGGAAGGCCCCTACTCCAATATTGGTATCAGCAGAATCTATCCGAACACCAAGGGTGTGCCATCAATATATACTACAAAGTAAATTAGCATCCAGCCAAGCCTGAGAACATCAAAGTGAAATTAAGTCCAAGGGATCACTGTGATCGGATATCAATATTCTTCCATCTATTCCCCATCTTCTGTCTTCTTGCCCTTGGTTTAACAGTCTAAGTTGTCACAAATTTCCTTTCTAACTCACTAAAGGCTTTCCATTTCTTAGTTTCAGTGAAACCCCCACACAGTCCTCTCCAGGTCAATGACTCTTAAATTCATAGATTCTTCTGTGTGCAAGAAACTCTAGAGATACATCACCTAATCCAGGAACATCTTTTCATGAGAAACTAAGGCACAAAGATTTTATGGCACTTACCTCTATTAGCAAACTGATAGCCAGAGATTTTCCAAATCATATAAAATTAAACATATTTAGGTAAATAGCTCTCAACACTAGCTGTCTGACATCACCCTAATTATTTAAGTAAAAATTATGTACCACGATGATAATAAATATTTAGAAACTATACACCATGATGATAATAATAGTAACACAACTTTCTAGGAGTATTTATATATTTACAAAATTTTGTGAATGTAAATTGCATTTTGTGTAATGTCCTAGTATGTAATACTTTGTCACAATGCAAATATTTTAACAAAAGAGCTTTTATTTTATTTAAACCTGAGTTCTACCCTTGGTTTTCAAGAGTTTTGTGAAAACAATTAAAATAGCTTTGCAAAAGCTATGCGTGTTTAAAATGCTATTTTGCCTTCACTTAAATTCAGGAAACTAAGCAGTATTATACCACATACCAGTCTTTTCACCACAGACTTTGTTGAGCAGCAGAGATGACCCTCACGTCCACTGTGGGCCAGCTTTGACATGATGCAATTCTGTAGATTCTGACTCTGACAGGACAAACTGCCAATCCTGGCCTCTAGTTTTAAGAACCTTCTCAGTGCCCCGGCCGATTTGGCTCAGAGGTTAGAGCGTAGGCCTGCGGACCAGAGAGTCCTGGGTTTGGTTCCCGCTAGGGGCACATACCAAAAAAAAAAACCCACACACACACATAAAAAAAACCCCAAAACAAGAACCTTCTCAGCAAATGGAGCCCTCGAGTGCAGACATTTGCTGTAGCTGCTATTCTGATCTTTTAAGTACCAGTGTACCATAATGCTTGGCCACCTCAAAATGCTCAGAGAAGCACTTAATGATCTGATAAGTCTTGTTTGGTCTTTAATGAGTCAATTTCTAGTGATCGTAAAATCCCACACATGGTCATTATAACATGCATTGTGCACAGTCTGCTCATCCAAAGGCATTGCTACTCTACACTATAAACAGCAAACATGTGACTAGAAAAACATTCATCTACCAAGATGTTTGGGCATGATTATAGAAAATGAATAGAAAATTAGTTACACATGGTTATATTAAGATGTTCTGATAGACCAATAACTGAGGATAAGGTTCTTATCCCCTCCACTGGCTTAAGTTCTGATCCCCCAAATACAATTAAGGTTGATTGGCATTTAAGATACAGGACAACCACAGCCTCTGTTGTGGATAAACTACACTACAACAGTGATTTGATATTTTTTTTCTCAAATTTTACCCTGATTTTCCAGCAATTTAGATACCATAGCATCTATATCAACATTGGTAACTAACATTTACTTAGCACTTACTGCAATCTGGATACTGAGGCAAGTTCCTCGTGTATGTTACTTCAATTAACACCTTGAAAAAGTATTTGTCTACTTAGCTAGTAAGTAGCAGAGCACAGATTCAAGCCCAAGCTGACAACATAGTCCAGGCTCCTATCCACTGTGCCTACTGCTACAGTCCTAGGTAACTTGTAAACATTTGCTCTTTTCTTAGGGAGGAAAAAAGAAAACATTATTTGCCACTAAACTATAAGCTTGAAGAGACCTGAAGAGACCAGGCCCGAACAGATCCGGGATCTTACCTGATTTATTTCAGCCTCGTGCTGCTAACACAGCAGTTTTCTAACGGGAGTGAATTGAAGGAAGGCTGAACAAATAGGCTACTCAGTTTAAGTGGAAAAGGCAAGACTCATCCATCCTCCTAAGTACTATATAATACAGTTCAAATCCAGGCAGTGACACATTTCAGACAATACACAGGTAAATTTTATAGTAGCCAGTTTTTCTCATTCCATGGGAGAATTAACTCCTAATTATTTTAGAGCTCTGGAAAGCAGCAGAGATGGCACGTAAGTGAGAAATTACAAAGGAACCAGCATTTTCATAACTGCTAAAATATGAGAGTTCATATATCTTGTATATATGAAAGCTATAAGGTTAATTTTCTATATACATTCACCTCTCTTTCACCTTACATATTCAGCCTAAAAATATGCACCGACCATAGTCCCTTCTTAAAAGCCAAATGTTCAGAATACGTAATGGTACGTGAGCAGTTAAAATTTCAATCAAAATATCTCCTAAATGCAATACATTATTAAGTTAACATTTAAACAATTCTTGTCACAGATATCTGTTTATAGAATGCATATATTTCAGAGTTATTAACAATAAGAAAGCAAAAAAGTAAGCTGCCCTTTTTAATAAATAAGTGACCCATTTCAGAAAGGATAGGTTTGGTACTGTTGACTTAAACTGGTTTTAACTTTATCAAACACTAGTATACTTCTCTACCAGTCTGACTACTTCCCATTCAAGGACATTTGCAATGCCGGGCATGGATATGAATGATAATTGCAAACACAAAGCAGAAATAGCCATGGCACGTACCTTAGTCAGGTGGATGACTCCTTTAGAAGTAACTGAACAGCCCATGAAGCCAACATACTGAAGTTCAGGACAGTGCTCAGCAAATGCTTTCACTGACTGATCTGTCACCTAGGGAGAGACATGAAGAAAGTCATTGGAGGGGACGTTCCAAGGAATTTCAGGATTGGGCTCCTCAGATTCCCTCTGCCCAACTGGCATCACTAATGTTCCCTATCCATTAGATCATTGGAATCCATTTACAAACCTTCTACTGTATCTCTTGTGGGTTTCTTGAAATCCTCCCTTTACCCACATCTCTTCTATCATCCCATGTTTTTCCACTTCTTTGTAGAAAACATTTGGAACATGTTGACACTATCTACCTCACTTCATCATCTCTCTCCCTCTCAATAGATATATTTTTATTAACATGTAATTCACATGGTATAAAATTCACCTTTTCAAAGGGTATAGTGGTTTTTAGTAGATTCACATGGTTGTGCAACCACCACCAATACAAAATTTCAGAACGTGTTCATCAGTGAAAAGAGAAACTCCATGCCCACTAGCAGTCACTCCCCTACTCCACCCCCTGCCTGGCAACTTTCTGTCTCTATAGATTTGCCTAGTCTGGACATTTTTTATCATTAAAATTATGTGATTGGTTCCTAAAGTGCAACAATGGTCTCTTTGGAAGGTTTCTCCCTTCAAGTGTTTCTTCCAAGAAATCTAGTTTTGCTTCAAATTCTTCAGGTTTGGATGGTATAATGGTCAATTTTATGTGTCAACTTGACTGTGCTATGAGGTACACAGATATCTGATTACACATTATTCTGGGTGTTTCTGGAATAGCAGACTGCCCTCTCAATGTGGGTGGGGGTCTTATCCACCCCACTGAATGTAACAAAAGGTCGAATAAGAAAGAATTTCTCTCTCTCTCTCTCTCTCTCTGGAATTTATACCATCAGCTCTCTTGGTTCTATGTCTTTGGACTCAGACTAGAACTACAGTATCAGCTTTTATGTGTCTCTAGATTACTAACTATGCAGATTTTGGGCTTTCTTAACCTCCATAATCCCATGAGTCAATTACACCAATCTCTACACACACACACACACACACACCCCTCATACTAATTCTGTTTCTCTGGTGAACTCTGACTAATGCAATACATATTAGAATCCCCTAAGGAATTTATTAAAAACTCAGAACCAAAGGGGAGAGGCCCAAGAATCTATATTTTTCACAAGCCCCTCAGTGACTTGTAGGCATATGAAAGTTTGAGGCCTCGGTGCTGTAGAGAAGCTACATTGACAGCTTTTGGCATCTGCCCCTGGCCCCGCTTTATTTAAACAAAGAGCAGGATGAAATTCCTTTTTTGTCTTCCCCAACTTCAAAAAACTATCCATGTACAAAATTATCTTCTTTTAATTCTGGTAACATTTTCTTCACTGCTCCACAAAAATGAAGCTTAGAAAAGAAGTTCCAAATATTCTCTATCATAGGCTTAATTTCAGATTCACTTTTATCAAAGTCAAGATAAAATCAAATTGAACACTTTTGTTAGTTTCTCAAACAGCAGCAACTTATGTCTCGCATTAGCTTTAATATTGGTGACTCATACTTTGTATCTTCCTTATCTATTCTGAATAGATATTTGAAAATAAAGGTATGTGGGTAGCATTCATTCTAAAGCAACACAAGCACGTTTTCCTAAAATAATGAAACCAACAGCATCCATGGTACATCTGATAAAAGATTAATTCTGCCCTCAGAAGTAAAATACGCTTCAACATATTAAGACTAAGGGTGCCACTGATAAATTAAAAACGGGCCTTCCTGACAGTCAGCTTTTTAAAATATTATGTTAACAAAGAATATTTAAGGCACTAAAATTCCCGAAAGCTTCAATGAAAACCAATCATTTTAAAATGTGTGTGGGGCGGGGGGGAGGTGAGTACCAGAGCTTAAATAACAAATAGTTGGTTAAATGGCCTGTCCAATCTTACTCTAACATCAAGCCTTTCCTTCATACATATATCTTCAAGGAACTTAGCCAAGAATTAAGGACACAAGAAAGCTCCAGTCCAAAGTATTGAAGCTTTAAGAGAGAAGAGAAAAGGGTTTAAAAAGTTAGTTTGGTGGCTCTTTCTGTTTTAGCTGAAGCAATCAGAGTGACAGGAGCCTCCAGCATCAACAGTCCTGTAAGTCAGACAAGACCACAGTAAGTCCCTGGAATACAGACACACTCTTAGAGTAGGTGTGGGTGTGTTTCTTGGAGACTACTAAGAGGGCCTTGGAGATCTGGGTAGGGTTCGGCTCCATTTCCCAAGGATATAAGATCAGCTTTGGGGCTGAGGGGCTGACGGAAACAAAGATTACAGGAGGCAGATACTGGTGAGTGTCAGCTTCTCTGGGACCCTGGAATCTGACTGCCTCTTCTCAAATCCCAGGCACACCGCTTCCTAGCTGTGTGATTCTGAGCAAGTCATTTCCCTTCTCTGTACATTGTTCCTCCTATAACATGGAGGAAATAAAATACCTACCTCATGGGGTAGAGAATAAATAATGCATGTAAAATGTTAGAGTTTGTTATCTTTAAAATGTACAATGAAAGCATGCTAGCTTATTCTCCTAGTTACTCTGAGAGATTCTGGTTATAATTTGGGGGCTAGGTTATGGACTAACTTGTGAGGTGTGAGTGAGGCAAACATAGGTGGAAGTTACTGAACAATTATGGTAAAAAGAATCCCATTGTGTTAAGGTTGTCAGCCTAACCACACATCAGAATCACCTGAAGAGCTTCTGATTTAATTTCTGGGTGAAGATCTGCATCAATTTCATCGTAAGAGCTCCCCCAGGAGATTCCAGCATGTAGCCTGGGTGATGACCTAGTTCTGAGGCCTTCCGTGCAAAGTGCGGTCCTCAGACCAGCAGCTTTGGTGTCAACGTGCGGGTTTATTAAACTGCCAAACCCCTGACCCTACCACAGACCTACTAACTGAATTCTAATCTGCATTTTAACAAGATCCCCATATGATTATTATGCACCTTAAACTTGAGGGGGGAGATAGGGAGGAGTGTGTCAATGAGAGGAAAAGGAGAAACATCTGTAATAAAAATAAATCAATAAAATAAATTTAAAAATTAAATAAAAAAAGATAGAATGCTAACAAAATGAAAGAGTACATCATCTTCTGGGGGGTAAAGTGACGCCAAAAAAAAAAAAAAAAAAAATGGATAGTTATGTCATAACCAAAGAACTATGGAGAAATTTTTTTAAAAGTTTTATTGGATATAATATATGCACAAAAAATTCACTCATTTTAAAGGTACACTTCATTGAGTTTTAGTAAACTTACACAGCTATGCAATCACCCCAACACAGTTTTAGAACCCTGCCATTGCACCATCCCCAACATTTCCTTTATTCTTTGTGCCCATATGCAGTTAGTCACAGCTCCCACCCCTAGACAACCACTGATCTGCTTACTATCTGGATAGTTTTACCCTCTCTAGAAATTTCATACAAATTAGCATTGTATCAGTAGGTCTTTATTGTCTCGCTTCTTTCACTAGCACAATGTTTCTGAGGTTCATCCTTGCTGATACATGTATCAACAGTTGGCTCATTATATTGCCAAGTAGAATTCCATTGTGCAGCCACACTACATTTGTTTATCTATTCCCCAGTTGATAAACACTTGAATTGCCTCCAGTTTGGGGCTTTGTAAATAATGCTCCTGTGATGACTCACATACAAATCTTTGTATGGACATATATTCTCATTTCTCTTGGATAAGTATCTACGAGTGGAATAGCCAAGTCATGTGATAAATATAAGTTTAATATTTTACATATTTTTTAAGTTGGGTTGTTGTCTTAAGTTGTAAAAGTTCTTTATATATTTTGGATACGAGCCTTTTATCAGATATATGTTTCACAAATATTTTTTCCATTTGTACCGTCTTTTCATTTTCTTAATGATGGTCTTTGCTCGAAACATTAAGGGCTATGGTGTTCTTCGAGTTAATTTTTGTAAAGTATGAAGTAAAGTGAAAGGTTCGTTTTTTTGCATCAACTGTTCAATTGTCCCAGCACCATTTGTGGAAAAGACTACATGCTATGAGGATTGCTAAAGCTCCAACCTGAAGCAGCTTGATTTGAAGGATCATGCTCAGAGACTATGGGTAACCGTACAGTAGATAACAATTAATATGCAAACAGAAATGTGGCTGGGGATTGGAAAAGAAGCATCAGAAAATGAGAGGGGAATGAGATCACCCGCAAAGCAGACCTGAATCTTTTAGTCAAGGCTGTGATAGAGAGAAAGATGAACCTCGGAGACAACAGTGTTACTCTTCTCATCAAAGAGGCACAGAAAGTACCATCTCCTTAAGCTGTAATTGAAAAAGCCAAGCTGTATTTAAAAAATTTTTTTTCTTTATTGATTTTTAGAGAGAGAGGAAGGAAGAAGGAGAGATAGAAACAGCAATGAGAGAGAACATTGACTGGCTGCCTCCTGCATGCGCCCAACTGGGGGATCAGGCCCACAACCTGGTCATGTGCCCTCAATGAGAATCGAACCAGCAACCTCTTGGTGCATGGGTCCATGCTCAATCACTGAGCCACAGCGGCTGGGCCCAAGATGTATTTTTATATCTGCATGAAAAGGGTGCAGGGACCTTTAGTTTGACAATGAGGAAAAGGGCTGGTGGTAAGGAATGGCTGTTGTGCCTTCATAGTCGAGAAAACCATGAAAAGCTGAAATAATATAACACACAAAGATTCCAGTAGAGCTCCAGTTTGTGAATCTTAAGGGAACCTTCTCTAGCTGCCAAACCAGGAGAAAATGAAAACCAGAAATGCAAGGCACAAAGGGAAAAGGAAGAAGAAGTTGGTTCTCATAAGCTCTTGAGAGCTACACTTAATCAGAAATCTTTTAAGGGGTCATTCTTGTGAGATTAAATGTAGGTTCAAGAGAGAAACTGTGCCAGGCCCATGTGGCTCAGTGATTGAGTGATGCCCTGTGAAGTCAGAGGTCCCAGTTCAATTCCGGGTCAGGGCACATGCCTGGGTTGTGGGCTTGATCCCCAGTAGGGGGTGTGCAGGAAGCAGCCAATCAATGT